CTTTACTTTAGTAGATTCAGACCCAATTTTCAATAAGTGTTGAGAGAAAAGAGCACAACCGACCCAGTAGTGAAAAGACAGGGACCCAAGACTATGGAACCCAAAGGGAGTCATTTCATAGTTTGAGCCCAAATTTTCTAATGAAACGATGATATCTGCCCTACCTCATCAGGTCCTGTGAGCATCAAATTAAATGTGCACGTGAAAGTGCTTTGAAATACAAGGTAATAAGATCAATAGGCAGATTTTTGCAAAAAATATAAGCAGTGATGGCCCTCTAAAGGATCTTCCTGGATTTGTGTGGTGAATTAACTCTGTCTTGTCCTCTTTATTATGATACTCCCATAGCCATTTCCTGTAGGGTGAGAGGTTTCTAGAATTATAAGTGGGGGAGTTAATAAAGTACTCATTTCTTAAATAGAAGGAATTTAATGCAACAGTGTTTTGGGTTGTTGTTCTGTACTTTCACTGAGGGACAGACTAACTGAGGGAGGAAAGGAAAGGGAGCGAGAGATCTAAAAAATTCACTATCGGTGCTTCTAAAACACCCAGGCACAAAAAAACAAGGTGAATTTTACAATTAAATATTACACAAATAGATGGTATAAATTACAGTTAAATGGCATACCTAGGGGGATACGGCACAGATCATTATTCTGGAAGATGCACTGAATGTGCCCTAAGGGAGATGGATGGTAAAACTGTCAACTACATTTGGGTTGAGCAATCTGGAAAGACCGTATGGACCAGAGTGTGAAGGAAACCAACTAAATGGAACCCCAGCAGCATATACTCTTCCAAGATCGACACAGCCTGAAAACCACTTGTTCTAATTTTTAGAGAGTCTGCTGCTTTAGGCCGCGGGGTCTCAAATGCACTGGTGAGATCGCCCCAGTCTAACACTGAAGGAGGTCCCTAGCTGTCACCTTTCTAGGATCAGAGAAGAAACCTTCATAAACTCAGGGATGGGACAAGAATGTTCATTGTCTAGTCTAGTGGTTTCGTCTGAGGAGTGAGGTGAATGGGACAGAAGTGGAGAAACATATACTTTATCTATAGGGTTTCATTTCATTGGAGAGAGAGATAAAAAAAAATACAGAAGCAAATCTGAAAAAAATTAACATTCCTTCTTTTAGGGGAGAGCACATAATGGATATTTGCTGTATCATCCTTTGTACATTCATATATTTTAATATTTTTCCAAATAAAAAACGGAGGCATTTCCAAATGATGACAACTAAAACAAACTGTTTAGTCCAGAGCCAGTTTTCATATTGCAACGGATACCACCCCAAACCATGTTTTTCGTTTGTTTGTTTGTTTTCCATTTCTTAGGAGAGAGACCAGGAACACAGGATGTTCTCTAACCACCATTTAAGGAATTCATTGTCCTTTGAATTGCTCAATCAGGCTCAGTCCCTACTATCTAATTCAAATAATCTCGCAAATCCCAAACCTTTATATCCATGTTTGTACGTTTGACAGATTCTCCCACTATCCCTCGCCAGAATATAATTTATGAAGGCAAGACTGTGTCTTGCTTGTCACCAAGTCATATGCATCCAGCACAGTGCCTGGCACATCATATTACCTTAATAAATACTTATTGAATGGATGAATGAATGAATGAAACCCACATGGACTGTCCCTGCTCCGTGAAGATGTAATTTGAAGGTCGGCCTTGCCCACCAGCTTTTGTGTAGATTCCACATGTCTTTTCAGGCTCCTCTAGCTTTTTGGCCATGGCCTTGGGGTCCAGGCCAGCCACTGCAAAATTAATGACTATCACGCTACAGTTAAATAGTGAGATGCAAGGCTAACCTTGGAAAGATCCACTATTTCTAGGCCTCTTCTGGAACTTTCTAATACCAGGTTGGTCTATTTTATATGCATGGGAAAAGCGCACAGCTGCAGCCCATATATCTCATTTACTGTTCCTCCCTTTCACTTCTTTTCCTGGCATCCCTGACAGAAGTATTTTCTATCCACCCTGCTGAAGGTTGATATGGAACATTTTAGAATAGTTTCAAAATGACATTAAGATGCCTCTTTCTTCTTTATGTCATTTCTTTACCAACCATCAGCCTTTTTCCCCCTACTTTTTATTTCCACTGGTGTTTACCATTTACTGTTTATTAGTTTTTACTTCCTTGAGGCCTATGTAACAAATATGAAATTTACTTCCAGAAGAAAAGAGTTATCTCACATACTGAGTGTCTAACGGAGAAACAAAATGAACAAACTCTATTAGAGCCTTTCTTTAAAAAGTAAAATGTGTTTTTATCTCTAGAAAAGAAAGTGCTGTAGGCAAAGAAGTAAGGATTATCATCTGCTTGTCTTACACCCTCCTGTTTCAAGGTTTTACTCCTGACCCAAATTGTCACCTCCCAACCCTGGGCCTAGGAAAAACCACATACTTGGACACCAAAAATGCAAATAACCCTGGAACTAGTAGGAAATTTCCACTCAAGGAACATGATGGCAAAAACCTGAGAAACGGAAAGGCCACAACTCTATCCCAGGTATTTTTGTTCCAAATCTAGGGTTTGCCCCAGACCATGCTGAATAAAGGAAGATGTCCCTTGTCTTCCTTTTAAGAAGACATCCAAATTAGCCCTTACCTACATGGTTGAGGGTTGCCTGAATGATTGGAGTAGTGTTTTCTCCTCATTTGAAAATCACTGTCTTACTCACCTCCTCTTATGATGGCAGTCCCTTATGTAGTTTAGGTATTTAGTTTATGTTGAATCACTGTCTTACTCAGCTTCTCTTATTATGGCAGTCCCTTATATAGCTTAGGTATTTAAGGAGAACCTTAACTCCATTTTGAGGTATATCTGAATAGATTGAGTTTCTATGACAGTTCCCAGGAGCTATGCAATCCCAGCCAGAAAATTGGAGACCTAGATACTAGGTTCTAATCCCCTAGGATTCATTCTGAGATTTGCTGGTGTCACAATCCCACCCTTCGGCAATATAATTCAGAGAAGTTTCCGGGAACCTCAGGGTGTGCCTGAAGTCACGTGTTCACTTAGGAAACACTTCTTAAACCTGTCTCAGATCGCTACACATCGCCCAAAACACATATCCATTCCAGGCAACCAAGAATGTCTGGTCGCCTTTGAACAATCCAGATTTTGGTTTTTTCTTCTTCTTTTTTGGGCAGAGCAAGTGTGGGGCTCACAGTTGGCACACCTATAAAGGAAGTGCAATGTCCTGGTCCTAGGTGATAACATACATTTATTGAGTGCTTGCTATATATCAGACACTGTCCTAAGCAATTCACATATGTTGCTACTTTTAACCTTAAGAACAATCCTACAAATAGAGACCATTAGCCCCATTTACATATGAGAAAACATTAAGTAACCTACCCAGGGCAGTGGCTGGTCTAAGTGTTGGAGCCAGGATTCTCAGCCCACTTAGGGCCTGAACTCTGACCTACTGAAGTGTCTTGTGTCTCCATATGCTATCTTTTCTGTGTCCTTTCTGCTTCCGGAGTTTTGAGACAGGGAGAGGCGGCCTTGAACAACTGATTGATCAGTTGAAGAGACCTAGGATAATCATCTCAAAAGATTTTAAAAGCAGATTGAAAAAAAGTAAAAACTTCAACCTGAGGATTGCTGCCAAAGGCTGTCAAGGGTATCCCATTGCTGTCATTGAGTAGGCAAATTTCTGCACTTCAGTTATTTGGTGTGACTGGCGACTTAATAGAAAATTCATAGTTGCCCTGAGTTACATATGTAGGGATGCTGAAATATTTGAGTAGTGCCTAGGTGTAATGTGCATTATAAGCCATTAGCTAGACTGGCAGTTTTAAACAAATAGAGAAGCAAATTACTAGAAAACCCTGGGCCAAAATGAGGTTTCTTTTTCTTCTGTTTTCTCTTCAGACTTTGTGGGGAATGAGATCAAGAAAAGGAGACCTGATTCCACTCTCAGCCTCAGGCTCTGTAAATACAGAACAAAACAACAATAGCAAAAACATTGCTTTAATCTTATAATCTACCTCCCCGTGAAGATTTCAAAGAGGGGCGAGTGCACTTTGAAAAGTCTCTTCCTCTAGTTTTCTCCCTGGGCAGGGTAGGGGATAGGGGGGGCACTGCCTTCCCTTCCTTCCCAGCAGGGAGGGCCTGGGGAGAATGACCTGGTGGCAGGGCTCCAGCCGCGCAGCTGTGCCGGGTCCCCGTTGGGTGGACGGAGAGCCTTTGGGACAATGCAGACCTGAGGATAGCTCTGTGCAGAGCACTCTGACCCAACTCAGCATGCACATCAGTTGAAAGGTTCTAGCCTTAGATTGCACAGAAAGCAAGAAGTAGCTTGCAAAGGGAAGGTTTTCAGAAGGCACATAGGGAATTAACTTATTAACAATAGCATTGGTCTGTGGAGTGGAAGAGCTGGTACGGTGCTGGCATTCCCTAGGCAACAGGCTGAAAATGTTCACTTCTTAGAAAGTCTTTCAACTGGCCATGGCTTTTTCCCGACAGTACCAGTGGCTGGGCTCCGGAAAAATAATGAAGTCTGTAGATGGGATGTGGTGAGTGCCAAGAGGTCCTCCCTGCAAGTTAAAATGACTTTTCTTGTGCTTGGGTTAGGGTTGTGAAAACAAGCTAGCAGACCACGATTGCTGACACAAATAAATTCATAACTATACAGGTAAACACTTAAAATTCATCCTTGAAGTAAAGGGAAAAAAAAACAAAACTGTTTGCCTCTTCTCTTGGTAACGTCCGGTGCTGTAATGGAAAACTCCATTATCCCTAGGAAATATGCATGATGAACACGTGTTTTTTTCCAAGTTGATTTTATACTTTAACCTAGGAGCCTCTGTTACATAGACCAGCAGAGTAGGGACCACGATTGGTCTATGCGCATGTGTGTGTGTGCAATGTGCTGATTTTTCCCGAATTATTACAGCATAACTTCTTCTTTGCTTTATCAGACTAAATCGCAGCAATGAGACATAATGTATAAACATTTTGTATGTTTGCTCTTTTCAGTTCTAGGGAAAATCCGAACCGCAGTAGGCAGTGCCCAACTTCTCATGGCCCAGAAATTCTACCAGTTCAGAGAACTGTGTGAAGAAAACCTGGTAGGTAACCTTCTCCATCACTACCATTTCCCTGCTAATACCATGAGAGTAATATATCATCAGAATTGGCCTGACTAGTGTAAAACTGATTTTGAACCAAGTCAAGGCCCATTGGACTCTCTGGGATAGTTTTCTAATGAATCTTATTCCTGCTTTTCTTAAAATTAAAAATATTTATTTCATGCTTAATTAATCTTAGAAGAAAAAAATCCAATTAAGTTAAAACTCCATTTCATGCTTTCTTTGGTAACTGAAAATTTTCCATTTTCCTGACTTTCACGCAGCATCTCTGATTTCATTATTCTTACAAAAATAGGGAGCAACCTGATATTTCAAAAATATTATAAAAAATCATTTGGAATAATGATTTTATCTCTGAAATAGCCATCAGGGCCTATTTCCTAATCAGAGTTCTCTGTTTTAATCTAAGGGCCAGAGATGGAGGGCATCACAAAGTGCACATTTGATCTCCCTGAGACAAATGAATAAGCCATCCTTACTGGACATACGAAAACAAAATATAACAAAACAGAGACAAAAACATCACTACCAACAGCATTTTAAAAATTAGCTGCAAAACACAGGAACAAGCGCTTCCCCACTCATATATGCTCTTTAAAACAAAAAAACAAAAAACTGCTACTATCTCTACAAATGTCATTCCACAAGAATAGCTTTTATTGGCCAATTGTTGGTCAAGCTGTATCTGAAACAAAGAAAATGAAAAGCAATTTGTTTACCTCGTGGAAAGTAAAAACATGCTATATAAAATCCAATTAACCCAAACTGTGATTTCAGAATTTTAACCACATCTTCTTGTAAACAAGAATAAATACAAACTAAAAGGGATTTATCTAGACATGGCTCATCCAAGAAAAAGCTAAAAGTATGCAAAAATTAGTACTCTCCATCTCTTTTCATGAGCCTTTTCTTTTTGAAATCTCCATTTGGAGTTATCCCTTCCCTCCTACCACCTTCATCTATCATTTGTTTTCCCCTCCCTCAGCAAAATTACCTGACCCTAATTCTATTCCGGATTACAAGAAAATATATATTAGTAAACATATTGATAGGTGAATTCAACAAATATGTTATTGAGCTTTTGCTTCATTCCAGGTATAGAATTCCTGCTAATTTGTAAACATGGTAATGTGTCACAGACCTTAACATGATTATTTGTTCTTTAAATGTAAGAAAGCTCATATAAAGCTTTATTGCTCAAACTGGCCACTAGATAACACGTGGAAGCCAATATGTACATGCTATAGGGCACACAACATGCTTTTTAAAAGAATTATATAATGGTCATGTATATTATGAAATAGAAAGCAAACATTATGCAGATTTTGAAGATGAAATTACAGACAAAAAGTTCTGAAAAATTTACAGACTTCTAGGAAACGTTAACCTCATTAAAGCCAGCTTTTGATGTTTCCTAGTTCCTGATGGGCTCACATTCTTTGGCCACTAGAAGAACTTAGATGACAAAATATGAGAAGCAAGTTAGAGGTAGATGGAAGCAGGATTACACTGTAGGCAGAGAACCGTTGATGGCTGGTCAAACCATACCCCATAAGGGAAGGTCAAGAGCTCACTAGGTGCCAGACACATGCTAAGAGTATTTAGATTTATGAACTGATTAAATCCTCAAAACAACTTTATAGAGCAGATAGTGACAGATAGCAGATAGCAACCCTATAGAGCAGAGAGGAAATGGGTATAGAGAGGCTAAGTAACTAGGCCAGGGCCTCATGATAAGAAACAGAGCCAAGATTCAAATCCCAGTTTGTTTGACCTCAATCCCTATAAATCCCTGCACTCCAGAATGTGAGTTTCATTCCTCACCCTCTTGAAGGGACCTGGGGCTGATCAGTCAGCTCCATCTCCTCTGTAGCGGGAAGCATGGCCTGGTGGTGGCATTGTTTAAGTCTACAAAGACTCATGAAAGTGGCACTAAGATTTGTCAAAACCAGACTTGAACTCTCCTTTCTTGAGTTCTTACTCCAAGGAGAACACTTGAAAACACTTGCATATTATTTCAGACAAGACTCTCGAGCATGGAATGAATGGATAAGAGTTACTTTTGCCAAAAAAAAAAAAAAAAAAAAAAAAAAACTAAACCAAGGAACTCAGCTCTCCTCATCTTTCCACACCCTTTGCCGCCTCTGATCTTCAAGTGGCCTGGTTCAGGCTAAACTAAGAGCTGCAATTTTTTCTTAGGCATGGAATGTCACATGACCTATGAATTCAGAGATTGGCTTAGTGCTAAACTCTTTCTCTCTGCCTTCCATCCATTCCCTTGATGATGTAGGGGCAAAGAGATTCTTGAAGAGGAGGGAACAAATTGCCCATAATACAGAGTTAAACACTCTCTTTCTCTATTGAGCTATCATTTCATACATTGGTGCACTGAAACAATTTAACCAATAGGGCTTGTGACCTGAAAGACTTTAGTGAACTCCAAAATAAGAGCAATTTAGTTTTTGGTTATCAATAAGATAAGGAAATATACTGTGAGGTCATAAATCTCCATTTGAGAAGAAATTTGTCAAATCTATGATCTATCTTTTCTGAACCTAGATATTAAGAAACATTTTTTTTAGGTTACTAAGTCAAAATGCTACAGAGAAACTCTTATTAATTCAGTTGTCATTAGAACTGATTTTAATACTTAACCAAACACTTACAAACTTTAAAATTTACTTCTTCCAATGACTTTCAAAACTATGCATAGTTTTAGTACTATAAGTTTATAAAAAAAATACCTTTACTTATATTTGTTTTGAGGCCAGAGAAATAATGCTAGTCCATTCAAAGGGCTAAAAGTTCTTTCCAACCTAGTAATTTTGAAGGTCACTAGCCTTGCACTTTCCAAAATTCTGATGATATCATTTTTCATAGGGGTTAGTTTTAAAAGTACAAACTGGCCTCAAGTTATCATATGGCATAAGGTTTCACAGTCTATCCAGTTGCCTGGAATACCCAGAGGTAACCAAAATTGACCCCAGCTGTAAACATCTGAAATATGGAAGCTCCCAACCCTCTAACCTTGAATGCTTTAGCCACTGCTATAGGTAGTGATTAACAGTGAGCATGACACCTTCAAACTCTGTTATGCGTTTTCTGTCTTAGATCATATAAATCGGTGGTTTGTACTTTCTAGTACTTGTCAGGGATATGTGAATGGAGACAAAGAAAGTCAATCCTTAAACACTAAAAAATGTTTAAGATTAGCTAGCAAATGGGTTGTTGCGGACATCTATAGATATGTATTCTCACATTATGGCCAATTTAAAACTAATTCATTTCCAAATGATTTTGCCAAAGTACTTATATAATAAAATGACTTCCTATATTAGTAACATCTTAATTGTTAAACATACAGTACTTCGATAATTCAATTACTTTATTACTCATCATCTGTTTACCCTAGTATTCCACTCAACGTGAGTATTAAAACAAATCTTATTTTAGATTCCATATCTGTTCTTTTAATAAGTTGGGTAGCAAGGAGTCAAATACTGACTCTAATAATAACATATTGAATTTTTTTCAAAGATGGTATTTTCATTTAAATATGGTGTTTTAAATGCATCTTGTTGTAGAGCATACATTCTGAGATTTTCAAATGTTTAGACTTTTCCCCCATACCGTATTGATAGATGTTGCTTCACAAAAGAAGAATTTTACAACTCTGGCATTTAAGAATTGCTGACTCAAATGGACGCATGTATAAAATTATTGTGTGTAGTAGAATCTAAAAAAAAAGTCAAGCTCATAGAAACAGTAGAAAAGTGGTTGCTCAAGGCTGAGAGGTGGGAGAAATAGAGAGAAGTTGATAAAAGGGAACAAACTTTCAATTTTAAGATGAATAAGGTCCGAGGATCTAATATGTTTACTATATATGTTTATCATTATATATGTTTATTATTACATAACATTTTTATTATAGTTGATAACACTATATTGCAATTTGCTAAGAGAGTAGAATTTAATGTTCTCACTCAAAAAGTATAAAAATGGTAAATAAGTGAGGTAATGAATGTGTTAATTAACTCCATGGAGGAATTCTTTCACAATGTTTAAGTATATCAAATTATCATATTGTACACTTTAAATCTTATGATTATTATTTGTCAATTATACCTCAGTAAAGCTGAAAAGAATTTTTTAAATAAAATTACCATTCATAGCCTCATTTTTACCTCCTGTCTGAAAACCAGAAGGAACTCATCATCTTTATGTTATTTGAAATATTTGAAAATGCCGCTTCGGCCCTGTGCTTGTTGTCATGGATTGCCTCTAAAGAATGAATATTTTCTTTCTCTTATACAGAACCCTAATGCTCATCCAAGGCCCACCTCCCAGGATTTGGCAGGGTTCTGGGACATGCTGCAGTTGTCCATAGAAAATATTAGTATGAAATTTGATGAACTTCATCAGTTAAAGGCCAATAATTGGAAACAGATGGATCCTCTTGACAAGAAGGTAGAACAATGTAGATTTTGTATGGTTCATTTAAAAACCTGCACAAACACTGGACAGTCTAAGTAGGCTTCTGCATTCAGTCTTGCTGTTTACAATGTGAAATGGAGCTGATATATTAATTTCATTGTAATGACAATGTTTACATAGTAATCATTTGGGATATTATCTGTAATATGTTTCAGGCATATTTTTAAAGAAAACTTGTCTTTGTGAATTGGAAAATGAGAATGTGGCTTTTTTGTTAATTAAACTTTAAGTTAAACCATTTTAGTCACTGGAAGGAACTGCCTCCATTTTGCTTTTTAAACTAAAATAAATGGCATCGTCAGTGCATGATTACATAAAGCAAGAGTTCAACTTCCTTATATACCTAGGATGTGTTTCTGAGAAAAATAGAAAGTCCTGAAAACTAATCAACTTTGATAATTATTTCATAAATATAGTAATAAAGAAACCACTGTTGTTCAAGTCAAAAAATATATATGCCATCAAGTTTCACAGTAATCAAAGATGTTGGGATTTTTTCTTTTTAATAGTTTTACTTTTGGTTGGTTTGCCTTGGGGAATATTGCTCACTGGGTTCTTCATGCAACAGTTTAGAGATAAAGACTCAAATTCCTTTACTTTAATTAAAAACTGCAATTTCCACATTTGATTATGGTGGTCCCACTAGGTTCACACAAGTACCCAATGTCCAGCTCCCTAGGCTGGCCTGTTATGTGACTTTTTTAACCCTTTGCTTTCTTATGGCCTGAGGGCAAATAGTTCCAAGAGATTCAACTATAAAAATTAGGCATTGCTATTCCCCTGAAGCACTGGTGGCCCTGCCCTTTCCTTATTGTCTCACCTATCAAAGAACTAACAGTAATGCAATCCATTCTGTTGCTGCCCATCATAATATCAGGGTCCTTGGGGTCAGTGGGCTCACAGGAGAAATCCAGTCCCAAGGGACAGTGCATAGTAGACAGGAGGGAAACACTGCCATCACTGTTCCTCATCTCCAGTTCTGTCACCATCAACCTGAGTGTTCCAGTTTTAAGCATCAAAGTACCATTGATGTATGTGTGGCCTCTCACTTGAGAAGCCGAATATTTGCGCTCAATCTAGTGTTTTTTAATGTTTTTAAAACTGTCTGCTAAATAAGCTTTTAAAGCAGTCTTATTTTAAGAAAACACTACTGACATACAGACATCCTGGCAATTTAGTTTCTAGAGCTCATCCATTTAAGTTCTCATTCATTGATTTAAAAAATATATATTGCTTAAAAGTAAAATGTACAAGGAAAATATGACTAAAAAGTTAAATATCCGTACTTTTAAAAATATCAACCAAGTTACCCAACAATGAAAATTCAAAATGTCCAAAAAGAGTGATGCTTAGAATTGATAAATGTAACCTATTGACATTTACACAGTAAATCATGAGTTAACTTAATTTCTAAATTGTTATACACTTTGTCTATGATCAGAGCTTTTCATCATCTCATGAACTTTAGGGGAAAAAAATGAACAAGCACAATCAGAGTGGGTAGAATACTGTTTGCGCTCTGTGCTTCCTTTTTCTGTCCTCTGGGCTGCACAAGACACCCCCTTACACAGCCGGAGGCCAACTCCAGTGTAATAAGTTTAACTAGGCACGTCACCCACGCCAGTAAGGAGGAACTGCTGGAATGAGCATGAGTGTTAAGGCACAAAGAGTACCCTTTAGAGAATCATAGAATCCATATTTTAAGATATTGTTCACATTTATGAGACATTTCACTTTGCACATTTATGAGAATTAAGGGTATCTTAAAAATGAAAACATCAGATTCACGTGGACCTTTTCACAGCCTGATAGCTTATCATCTTTTTCCTAAAAATCCTTTGTGGTCTATATTCCCTTCTTTCCCACTGCACTTTTTTTTTCTGCCTAAGTGGTGAGTGGCTCTTGTTTTTCACAGTGGTATTTAAAAATATGTAACCGTTTTATAGTTTGTTGCTGCTAAGGTGTATGAACTCTTTCAGTTCTGTATTGTTTTCATGGCACAGTGTCTGTCTCTGTGATTGGAATTGCCTTCTGGGCCAGATTCATCCTGAGTCCCCTAAGAAGTGACGGTTCCAGCAGAATGTCTCAGGAGCCATTTTGGAACTGATTCCATGCCTCAGTGTAGGAATGATCAGTGTCATCCCTCCAGGGTGACCCTGGAAAACATATTGTTGTGTGTTTGTGTGTGACGTGCAAATGAGTATAACTCACTGTGGCATCAACAAAGCTAAAGAACACAGTCTTATCATCTCTTCTTCCTCATTTGGCTGTTTAGGTTTGGGTGGGCCCGGGGAAAGGGCGGCGATGGTTTTAAACTCTGAATCCAGCTCGCACTTGCTGCCTTGCCTCCTTAGAGGGGATGCGGAGTTCTAAGATGCTGCCGCTGCAATCCTTTCCCATCTCTGGCACCCGGAAGAGTCTGGAGCCTCCAGAGAGAACCACAGTAAATGTGCTGGGAGCGCAGCCTTTCATTTTAAATACCCACAGCCTTCCCATGGAAGAAACCTAGTTCTGCACTCCAGCCTTACCCTTGGCCTTAAGCTTACTGGTATTTCTTTTTCTGCATCATTTGAATACGCAAGCCAGAATAATGAAGGAGAAAAAAATATCTGTGTGTGTGTGTGTGTGTGGTGTGTATTGTGTGTGTGTGTTGTGTATGTGTGTGCAGGTCAGAACCAACCATCCTTAGGTTAAAAAAAAAAAAAGTGTGTTCTAACTACTGACCTATCCCAAGTTTTTCCCAAGCTTGTCCTGAGAAGCTGTGTAATGTCCTGAACCTTCTGCTTTGATCAGGAGAGAAGGGCCCCTCCTCCAGTGCCAAAGAAGCCGGCGAAGGGCCCCGCGCCGCTGATCCGGGAGCGCTCGCTGGAGAGCTCGCAGCGCCAGGAGGCCCGCAAGCGCCTGATGGCCGCCAAGCGCGCCGCGTCCGTCCGCCAGAACTCGGCCACCGAGAGCGCCGAGAGCATCGAGATCTACATCCCCGAGGCGCAGACCCGGCTCTGAGGTGCCCGGGGCTCGCCGCGCGCACTCCGCGGCGTCACCACCAAGTATCTGTCTTCCCCTCCTCCTCTTCCCTTCCCACTCCGCCCTCCGATCCCATCTGTCTCTGAGCCCAGTGACTTCCACTGTCGCAGTGTAGTTGTCCATCTTGCAGGAGCCGTCCCCCAAAATCCCTTTTGCCCGGACCAGTTTGCCCATGTTCTTCGCCGAGCTTCGCCACCTGTACTGATGCGTCACCTTGCCTCATCCGGATAGCCAACCCTTTCTTTTCTTGGAAACCCCGAACCCACCTGTGTAGAAATGGCCCCTTTAGGTCACCCACCATCCTCAGTTCTCTCAAGCTAGTCTGTTCCTAGAGCTCAGCAATACAAAACCATAGGGTAGTTCAGAAATCCAGTATCACCGGGTGATCCTTTGGGACTTAACCGTCTTCCACGTGAAAGAAACTAGGGCTCTGATTCCCTTTATTTCCCCTAAACGGTTATTATTTTGTAAAGCAGATGGAGCACTTTATTTCCAACCTCAGAAATCACGCCATCTCACCGGAATCAATGAGTGACAAACCAAGAGAGGACAGTTGGGCTGGGGGTGAGGGAACCTGGATGTGTAATGAGAAAGGGAGAAGCAAAATCTGCAGGTGCTGGGGATACTGGCACCACTCACAGCTGCACAAACTGCCTCACTGTTACTTCATCAATCACTGCTTCAAATGTTTCAATCAGCAGAAGATTGTAAATTCGATCTTTCAGGGAAATTAATCTATTCTGAAAGGCAATAAAATGAAGAGAGGCAAGGCAAGGCAAAGGAAGCATTGAGAGTTAAGATACTACATAAGGGATTTTATTTTTTGTCCTATTATTAAGAAAATTTAGACCTGAAATGTTTTATCAACTTTTATTATACTGTGTGTATTATATTCTTGTTGTGGTGGTGGGGTATTAAAAAGGCAAAATGTTGGTTCTATTAATTTGTTAGTGTCCGTCCTGGGGGTTCTACCTAATTACACATATATAAGTATACATCTGCTTATGAACTGCCGTAATGGCAGCCAGGCTGTATTCAGAGAAAAGTTTGGATTTTCCTATCATTCCTTTGAATGCTACACATCCATCTCTTTTAACCCAGTAGCTCATATTGCCGACATATTTTCTCCTTTAGTCTTCTCTCACTACTACCCAGAGTCCTATCATACCCCAGCATAAGGATTTTGTCCTACGTCAAACCGATAAAGGAAATTTTCTACCCCAACAGACATGCTGCCTCATTCCAAAGAACTGCCACTCATCTGGAGGTCCCAGGTAGTGAGAGAAGAAATTTGACCTGCAACGGTCAGCAAACACTCAGCAAACACAGGGAGAGGGAGAAAGTCATGACTCACAATCACTAAAAGAAACCCAGGCTTTTGGCAGAGAATGTTGATTTACATTTTTAGTCATGAGGGATGGGCAGTATGCACTTTGCGTCTAGCTGAAGTTATCTTTAAATGCCCTTACTCATAACAGTTTAAACATTTAGAATGTGGTGATCTTAAAGTATCACTGACATTTTATGTCCAGCTCCCATCCTAAAGCATTAGAAATTATCATTGAAAATTGAAAGACTTTTAAAAACACATCAAATATGCTTGCACCAGAGAAGCTTTTTTAAAAAAAAAATACACTCTCATAGCCAGGTGCTAGTTTAATTTTATTTATGAAATTAAGAGACGTGATGGATTCTGGCAACAACTATTTTCATGGACATATTCTAAAACCACCAGAGAATTCGCTACCTCTCAGAGCCATTGATGCTTTGAGCTATCTTTATAAACAGGGCACAAATGTTTACTGTTGTGGTTTACAAGAAAAGGGCTACTAACTTATTTAAAAACAAACTTTTAACTAGGATGAACAAAGCACCTTGAGTGCTTTGTAAAATTGGAGCATACAGAGATTTTGAGCTTCAAGTATTTGCTGGTTTTAAACAGAATACACTTTTTCTTTACTTTGTAGCAGCAATGGAAGGTCATACAAAATTTGCATCAAGTAAGGCCAACTGTCGCCTTGGGTAGCCTATGGTCACATTCAATCCTGCAAATGACTTGGAACTCACAGATTAATCTGAAGGAAGCAGCATCCATTTGAAGACCCATGTTCCCAACTACAGCTCTGTGCCCTGAGGTAGAGATAAGATTTGGATTAAGAAATAGATTTCTAATACGATTCGAGATCATCCTACATTTTCTTTGGAAACTGATTAAGCCCAGGATATTTTAACTGAAGAGAGACAAGAGAAGGCCTATTTATCTTGTCTATGTGAATGGTATTTGTATATTCATAAGCTATTTTTGGTAAGAATTTTAAATCTTTTAGCTAAATGCCCACAGGCATCATGACCTTTGCTTTCCTTAAAAACATAAATTGTACAAACACTTTATACAAAGCTAATTATCGATGTTAAAACATGACCCCACATAAAGCTGCTTGTTAACCACTTGCCCCCTTTAACTGACATTCATGAGCATAACTTTGTTATATTGTTCTTTTTGATGTAATTTGTAGAAATGTTTTTTAGTTCATAATGGAAAATGTACGTACCCTAAAAAATTACTTATTTTGTTTAACTTTGGTATAAAGATGTTTGGGCATTTTCTTGGGGAGGGGGGATTACAAAAGAAGTTTGTCTCCCACATCAAAAAACGTTCAAAGAAATTAAGTATTTATTATATTTTTTGCAGATGTTTCCATACAATTCACATAACCTTTTTGTAAAGAGAGATGAAGAAATGGATTACAGATTTTTAATATTTGAAATGGTAAATAGAACTAATTTATTTGTAATATATTTCTGTTATTTATAGATGTTTCCTTAATGTTTTACTGTGCATTACCACTTTAATTTAAGCCTTATCCTTGTGAATTTACCATTTCTTTTTTAAAACATGTCTAGATGCTATTTTAAATAACTGGAATGTAAATCACTAGCATATCTGAATTCCCAAATGTAATTTTTAAAAATTATTTTGGTTTGGAAAAAAAAGATTCATTTGAAAGCCTTCAGATGGAGGGGTGGGGAACATTTTTATGGCTTTATGAATTGGAATTTCATAGGCTTATTTACCTAGATTGTGTGTGGACAAAAAAATGTAAATAGATGAATGTTTCCCATAATGTAAAAAGAAGAAATTAATAAAATAATTAATGCACTGCTTTTAGGTCTGTGTGTTTTCACTACAGAGTTTTGCTTTCTTCTAAAATATAAGTAATTGTCTTTTGGAAGAATAATTAAACATTCTAACTTTCATTGTAACAACATATATGCTAGTAACTATTGAGTGATGGGTAGGCCTTTTATTCTAGGTTAAGGCACTTAAATACCAAAGACTAAAAGTAATTTTACTGTGATGATCGCACACATAGAAAAGTTTCAGGTCAGGAGCTGTATATTTTATGAAAGAAGTTAGCTTCTCAAACTTGTGCAAATCTGTATATATTATATCTACCTGAATTTTTTTGCAAATATTTCATCAATTTTATTTCCTACACAGTTCTCCAGCATAGGGAAAATCAGAATGATGCTCTATGGTTTTTATTTCAGGCTTGCAGTAATGAAAAACTGTGCTCATTGAGGTTTAGTGACTTGCCCAGTGTGACGCAATTATTAAATGACAGATTTCGGTCCCAAATTCAAGCCTTCATTCAATTTCTTCTTCAATAGGGTCTCTAACATTCTTCTCATATTTAAAACTAGTAATTATTTACCACTGTTGGTTTTGTCTGTGTGTCATCTAGGTCATATCTGTAAACTTTAGTTCATATACACAAAAATAGACTTACAAAAAAAAAAGTAAATTAGAATGTTTTATGATGTAAACTTGCAATTATCTGAAAATGCAACTCTGAAAAAACTTGTGTCTGCAGTGCTTCCTCCCTACCTAGTTCTTGGGCAAACCCATCCATCTCTCTGCAGCAAAGTTGGAAATTGTTAAGCAGGTAAGCCACTTCTGATTTTTATAAATAAGCAAGAGCTGTAGCAGTCACCAAAATAACACAATGTACTTTTGAAACTGCTTTAAAAGAAGAATGATCAAGTGACTGGATCCCAGTGAGGTTGCAAAGATCTCATTACTTTGGTTCATGCACTGACTATTTCCAGAGTCTGAACTGTGATTACACTTCCTGCCTTTTAGCAAATTAATTCTTATATTTCGGGGCTTCTTAAACATTTCAGCCAATCCCCAAACAAAATGAGTTAGTTTTTGCATATAGAAATTTGAATTTCACTGAAGCAATTTCCCATGTTACAAGGTCCACTGCCCCCAAAAATGTAATTTCGTTTTTGATAGAAATTGAACAAAATTGTTTGCTCTGAACATGAATTTCTTTTTATATCTTTGAAATCCATTCCCTTGAAAATTTCAATTGATTTTGGTTTAAATAAATGACGTTTAAAAATTATAGTGTCTGAACGTGTTCATTCTTGAATGCCATCAATAGGTATACTAAAGGGTGCCAAAATTTACCTCGGGTTTTCTCAATAGGCTGTTTGACTTTCAGCTGCTAAATCGAGGTCAAATCAACTCCTTTTGCAAACAGAAATGAGTGACCCTGTCTGAAAACCATCTCAGGGTTCTATCTCACTTACTAGCATAAGTTTACAGAATAGGTCATAAATTCCTATATAAATCACTCATTATCTCCCCTGATGCTGAGAGAGGAAATAGCATGCTGCTTCCTGGTCCATATGCTTTCCTCAGGGCTTATTTCTGCTGGCCCAGGGAGCCATCATTAGATAATCACAGGAATGAGAAGCCCGGTGGGATTCCTGACTCCTGGGTCTCTATTTAGCCAGCCAATTCATTATTTCAATGTTTTCTGTATAAATGAGCACAAGCCTCAATTTACAGAAAATGACCGAAAGCAAGAAAGCATTTTAATAAACACCAAAAGTCAAGCTCTGCTACGTAGCTGATTGAACTGTTGCTATTTATTGCACTAAACATTTTCACTAGTACAGGTGAAAACTGCCATTCTTTTCTTCACACTCCTAGCCTGCCTTCTGGAAGAAGCACATGCTAATTTTCTCTTTCTAGATTACCTGATAGGTAAATCAGTGTCATAAGGGAGTTTCTATTGAGATCTCAATAAAGAGATTCTTCCACAGAAAAACTCTGCGTTTCACTTTGGGAAGGGGGAGCGAATAGAGCCTCTGTTTTCTCTTCTGTTTCACAGGGGGAAACACATTCTTCCTATTGACTCTGTGGGAGGTTATGAACAACAAATACACATTTCGTAGCCTTAAATCCTAATGCTTTCACTGCTTCTGAAGGCCAGCGCTCTACAGATAGAAAATATTCCTGAATGTCTATCCTTCTGAGATTTGCACACATAATCATAAGTTGATGATTGCTTTCTTATTTCTAGAGCTTTCAAGCTTAATGTCTACCATCAGTTTCAATTATAAAAAGTGAGGAGAAACATCTAAGGGCTTAGATAATACTGTGGATGGCCACTAAAGTGTATCCAAGGAAACATCTCTCCAAATCAAAATAAAAATATTCTACTAACTGAAAGAGGGTCCATTTTAAAGGGTTTTTGGTTTTAGAAAATAACCTCTTACTATAGAAAATATTTACTTTTGTCAGTGACAGTTTTTAAAATCTCAGCAGTCACATCATTTCCTTTCTAGAATAAGACCTAATGTATTTTGCAACCTCAGCCAATACAATGTCTGTCTCTAATTCTTAAGTGTGAGAAGAAGAACTCAAAGGCAGAACTTGAACAAAGGTGAGGAGATAGGTTAAATAATTTACTCTTAGATTCCTTTCCGGTTTGATTTAATTTAACACATTTACTGAAAGCCTCCCCTCCCCCAGCTTGTTCAGGGAAGAGAGTGTGGCTACCTTCACCGCTTTTACTGATAACAGTTAACCTTCGCTCTTCTATGCAGCCTGGTCCCTGGTAGAAGCAGTACCTGGGAGCAGTACTTTGTGAACCTGGCACTTCCAAGGTTGAGCTTGACAAACGTGAAGGAGCAATTCAAGGGCCCCTGAATTTTTCCTTGTTAGTCAAGCAAAGTAATGAGTCTGGGATGATTGAAGGAAGATCCTTTCCAAGATGCTGGTGTCTTTGTGTTCAGTCTTGAGTTGATACACCAAGGCTTCTTTGAGCAGTAGGTTGTTCGAAATGAAATCATACAGAGAGAGTGAAAACTTGGAACAGTGGAGAGATGTTAGCACAGGAAAATGGGGATTTCCAAACTGAATGCAAGTGTGAGTGTTAAGCACTTTGTAACTAGTAGTGAAGTGGGGAATAATTATTCAGAGAAGTCTGAGTAATTCTGAAAACAAAGAAAGTAAAAACACCCTACTAATGTGAACCTAAGATACTTTGGCATCAGACCGTTCAGGATTTGTCAGTGGCTGACTCATCATGTGACTGTTCTCAAGGGCACATCATTTTAAAACAGGTTATGAGGAGGCCAAGGACCAACTATTCTTCTAGCAAAGGCAACGCATTAGAATTTAGTTAAATATTCAACTGAGAGAACCTAGGTTAAATATTAAGGAAATGGTTACCCAAAGAAAATACAAGGTGTTGATTGCTCTGAGAAACTTGGTGCACTGTCCTGGGAGAAGTCATTCTGACAGAACTGTGTCACCTGAATGACCCTCATGAAAGAGGGAAAGTCCTCCATGGCTCTTAGTATTTAAACTTATTAGATGATAGACATTGAGAAGACAGGTAACACACACACGCACACATACACACACACATACTCCCCATTATCCCTGTTGGCTTCTGCCCAAAGTGAAGTAATGATTCCCCATGGTTTCTGTCAGTGATTCTAGATCCACAAACAGAGGGAGAAAACAAAGGCAAAGGGAAAAGTCCTCACACACTCCAGCTTAAACACTCACATGTCATTTTGATTGTAATATTCTGACTTGGGGTTGGGCAGGAAAGCATTGCCATACACTTATAAGATGATGACAAATATTTCCAGCATTTCTCTTAAAAACTGGACTGACCCTCTCATCAGCCTCAAAATTGTACCATGAGTGGGCCCGCCTGCCCAGCAGGAGCAGGGACACTCCATAAGTGCAGAAGAGCTCAGATTATGGAGTCAGACTGCCTGTATTTCAATCCTCACTCTGCCATTTACTAGTTGTGTGTTTGGGGGCAAGTTAGTTAATGACTCTGTGCCTCAGTTTACCTATCTGTACAATTAGGATAAAAATAATACTTATCTCATAGGGTTGTTCTAAGGATTAAATGAATTAATATATGCAAAACTCTTAAAACACTGCCTGGAACATGTAAGCACTCAACTGTTCAATATCCTCACCATTATTATCATTATTATTATTATTACACATTTACATTTACTGAGAAAGTAACTTGTGCCCTGACTGTACTATTTTGTATGCATTCTGTAACTTAATCCTCCCAGTAACCTTATGAGATAGTTACCACAAATAAATTACAGAGGGATTAAGTAGCATCCCTCAGGTGTGCGTAAGTGACAGAGCTAATATTTTAATCCAGTTTAACTCTAGATCTATATGTGCGTGATTTGTGTAAGACAAAGCAATTTATCTGTCATTTTTCTCACCATTTTAAAATTTACTAATGTATTGTTTTATTTCAGAGCATTATGGTCCATCTATTCTTTCAGTGGTTCCATAGCATTCCAATTTATGGACAAACCATGATACATTCATTTAGTCCTCCTGTGGATGGCATTTAGGCTGTTTCTGCCAATTGCTATGACAAACAAAATCTGTAGTGAAAATTGTTCCAGAATGTATCTTTAGTACATGTGGAAGGGTATCTTTAGGTTATGTTCCTAGACAAAAGGACATGCACTTTTGCTTTTAAATATTGCCAATTGACTTTCCAAAAAAAGTTACCTTGATTTCCACCTCACCAAACATATGTGAGTTTTGCAAACCAGGAAACAAGGCATTCGTAAAGTAAATTCAGAGCCATGCTTAAAAACACAATAACGAAAAGAAACCCAGGCATCTTCTAGTTGGCTTTCGACAAGGAAGAAAAAGAAAGGTCTCCAGAAGTGTGGAGGTGGTTTTAATGCAGTCTTTTATTTAAGTCCCAGAACGAAGATGCCAGAACTAAGTAAGGAGTGTGCACATGTCAGCCTTAGGGTATGAACTCTTCCAGAAATTGAGTCTATGTCATACACCTTGGAGG